ATCCCCTATCCGTCCCCCAGCCCCCCCCCCCCCCCCCAAATGTTTTAAGTAAAAATTACCTCCCATAGCATAAATCCAAGTAATGATCTTACTCAATAATTCCCCCACCAAAAACTTCCCTCCACAAAAATGTTCCCTCTCCCATAGGAAAAGTAAGCCACCTGAAATCTAGCATCCATTGCTCACCTCTGCACCCCCTTGTGCACTGCTCACCTCTGCATCTCTTGTCCACTGCTCAATACTTCACTTCTCTTCTAGCACTGCTCATCTCTCTATCCCCTACACCGCTCTTTTAACACTGCTCACATTTCTATCCCCGACACCCCTCTTCTAACATTGCTCACCTCTTTACCTTATGTAACCCTCTTCTAACAATGCTCACCCTTACCACTAGTCTGCACCCCAAGCAAACTTCTTCCAACAGATGGGAGGGGGGTAGATGGGGTTCATCAAGCAACAGATGTAGGGCACATGCCTTGGATGACCGACAAAAGCCACATCCATGATTTATGCACTTTGTAGGCAGTTAATTGATAAAAATATAAATTACATTATTTTTAAAAAATATCCTCACTTTACAGCATTTTTACAGCAAGTGCCTAAAACTTTTCCATAGCACTGTATGTTGTTGAAATGTTATCTATACAACTCCTAAAAGTGTTGTAGAAATGTTTGCTATACAACTCCTAACTATTTTATTTTAAGTTGGTATTGTTGATGCAGAACTACAGCATTCCTGAAAAGCTATTTAATATAAACATGGAAACCAAACAAGCTTTAACTACTATTGGTTATGAGAACTCTTAAAATACTCAAGGGCAAATGCTTGTGACAGAAGGCTAGGGGCCATATTTGCTAAGCTTTAGAGCATAAGACTCCCTTTATGTCTCCATAAACCACCTTATAGTTCACTCAAGTGAATGGAATGTGACTAAGGATTTTTTTTTTTACAGCAGACAATTGGTAAACAATTACAACATGAAATATTTTTAAAGTGTACATTTATAAATGAGCTTCACTTCCCTTCTAGAATAGTTATCAGTGGTGAACAACAAGGACCACTATTGTGCCCAGTCTGTTTATTGAAGATCTTGTGCACGAACTAGAAACTAAAGCTGTCATTTTAGCTGAGGACACAAACTCCAGCAGGACATTGACATATTACAAGAGGATCTTAATAAAATAATAACATGGACACCAAAAAGGCTAAATTACATGTTATGCCTTAAAATATAAAGCTATTCTTCTAGGTCAGGGGTGGCAAACACAAGGCCCGCGGGCCGAATCCGGCCCGACGGACCTTGTAATGTGGCCCGCACAGCAGCCACCTCATTTTGCCATGTCTCATGGCCCTATGTGATACATCACTGCAAAAACACACGCCGGACACAAGATGGCGCTCCGTTCCATACCAGTGAGACCCCCCAGTGCCCGCCAATGATGCAACTGCGTGATATGACCATCGTGTTCTCTCCCCCACCTCCTCATCTACCGCGCATGCGCAGATTGTGGGCCAGGGGTCGTGCAACGCTTCGGGCGGAGAGGCAGCAGGGGATGGAGAGGGAGTGACCCGGGGTCCGGCAGGGGATTCGGCTGGGTAAGTGGCTGCGTGTATGTGTGGGGCAGTTGCGGGGGAAGCGGAGTGCATGGTGCTGGAAGTTGCAGTGATGGTTGGTGGAAGGTGTATGCTGTGTAGGAATGTGCAGCAGCACCAGGCGTGGAATATAAACGTGTGATAAGGATGTATAGTCATCATCCAGAGGTGCAGAGATGGGCACATGTGAGTAGATGCATAGTCCTATACAACCGGCCCTTTGAGG